TCCTGCACGCTCCCTGCACATGGCCGATCTTCTGGCACTTATGACATCGCATAGGTTTTGGAATAAATTGTCGGACCTTGGGACGAAAGTGGCCAACCTTCACATGGGAGGGGCTTGATTTAAAGTCTGATCACGGGGTACAGTGCAAGACCATCCGGGGGGTTGGAAAGCTCTATAGAAGGGGTATGGGAGAGGGGTGGAGAATCAATACATCGACTGAGGAGTAAAGATGGTGGCTTTATTCTTCCAGTCGTGTTATAGGCGGATGCCTAAGGGATCCCATATATTTTATTTCTGCTGTCCGAGCTAGAAGGCATAAGGTGATACGCACCCGCAGGCGAAGCTGCGGATAGCCGTCTTGGCGTCGGTGAAGATGGATGTGGCAGTGGTGAAAAAGATTGACAGTGCCATGCGATGCGTGGTGAAAAGCTTTAAGCAGACCAATTTTCTGCAGGTACTGGTGAAGAAAATATTGACATCAGTACCGATTTTGCGTACCTGAAATAAGCGTACAAAATGCCTACATTCCGGTCGTACAACGAATTGGTCACGAATGCAATGCTTTGGGGCGAGGCCATGTGGAACGAACGGAATTCATTATTGGTGTATTTGTGTGGTTTACACCGGCTGTTATTTCCCCGTCACTATAGTGCAGTCGTTAAAGTTACGGGCTCCTTAATTTCGGTTTCTTCAAATATTGACAATAAAGGGATTAGTTATCGACGCACCAGTGTGAGTATAATAAAAGAAAACAACTACGTTTTCATCGTGACCAGTCGGCGAAATATTGTATAAGTATTTTTTAGGACTATCAATGTATACCACGTTAGACCAGTCTAGTAAAAGCAATTGAATTATCGATTGTGTACTTGACAATGCTTTATACCATGAATCAATTATGCGCGGGAAATGTTTTTCAACTTGCTATGCACCCACTATAAGGCGATACACGTAGCAACATGAGTGCCTTTCGGAGGCAATGACGCTTGTACCATGCAATATCACTGCGAAATGAAGTTCACCAAGGTGGATATCTGGGCACGTTCGTATTCCGTGTTTAAGAACGGTAAAAGCGGGCTAAAAACGAAGACATACATACACAGCGCTATTTTCATTTTGCGATTCCAAGGCTACTTATAGGGCCAAAAAATAAAATATGCGCACATCTATTGTAGAGTATAGAACCCGATCATTATTAGGCAGCAAAACGAACGCAAAGAAAATCAAATCCTTTACTTGTCACATCGATAAAGGGCATGCTAATACACTTGTCACCCATCACTTGAATCTCCCCTGCTTTATGATTTCACGTGTAAGCTGATTTCTATTTCTTGCCCATATTCTGCATTTGCCGAACAGAGGAAAACAGCCTACACCTCTTACAGTGGACTGCTAAGAAACCGCCTGCCACGCTTCTAACATTGTAATGATGTTCACTCTGCCGTTAATTTAGACAACGACAAGTTTGACCGAAGTAGCATCAGCCACAAAATAGCAGCCGGCAATACACCACACACAGAACAGTCAACAAACTTGTGCTTTGTTTGGCACCCCCCTCCCCTTTCGTCTTCGTTTCCCGTCGTGATCTTGCACAGCCTTTCCAATTTATTTGGTGCTGAAAAAAGCACACGCACTTTGGCCCGCTGCGCAATCTTTTTCGGATTATGGGAGACCACGTGTGGGTAAGGAAATTACCCTTGTGCGATTCCTTTGCTCAATTGTTCTCGTAGCAGGACGGCCTTCGTTTCTGCAGTCCTTCAGAATACATTCAGCCAGGGAGACTTGCAAAGGCTGGGAAAACCCTGCACTCAGCAGTTTCCTTCGTTGCTGGTGGAAACTGAATTAGACCATATTGTGGCACGACTTCTTTAGAGCACTCTCAAAACAAAGATTGGCAATCCCTCTTTTCACTAGTTCGAAATTCGCTGAGTCCTAGGAGAGTAGAGGTTTACTTGCACGTTGGTCAAACTGCTGTTTGCTTAAATGAACGGCTGCTTGAACATCATCACAATGTTAGAAGCGTGGCAGGCGGTTTCTTAGCAGTCCACTGGTAAGAAGTGTGGTTGTTTTACTCTGTTTGAAGTGCTAGAATTTTGGCACGAAATAGAAGTCAGCTTACACGTGAAATCACAGAAGCATGGGAGATTAAAAAAAGACGGGTGACAAGTGTATTAGCATGTCCTTTATCGCGCTGAAAAAAAAAATTGGCGTCGATTTTGGAGTATTTAGTAATAACCTTGTTGCTACAACGCAATATCAGTGCGCATATTTATTTTTTTGACCCTATAAGTAGCCTTGGAATCGCAAAATAAATCTGTTGAAAGTAGCTCTAGTGTGTCTCTGCGCCTTCTTTGTGTCCTCGTTTTTATTGTGCTTTTACCGTCCTATAAATATTACTGTGATATTACACGTTATATTGAAGGACGGTAAGTATCGCAAATTGTGATGCGCTAAAGTTAAGAATCGCCAGAACACTGGGAAGGCAATGACCGGTTCTATTTTAACATGTTCGTGGGAGGAAGAAATCTGGCAGCTTTGTGTACTCTAAAAAAAGGTCATTTTACAATTTATGGAGTTCTGGCTTTCCACATACGTGACTGTGTTTTAAAGAAGGAAAATTCTACAACTTAGAGCTCAATTTTTTTTTTTTTGGTAGACACAACATTAATGAAATCTGACAGACAATCATGCTAAGGAAAGTATAAAGGATGTGATATGAGGTAATTGCAGTGTAAATGTGAAGAAAGAAAAATGGATGAAAAGATAGCTTAGCGTGGGTAGGAATCGAACCTAGGACCTTCGAATAACGCGTTAGGTGCTCTACCAACTGAGCTACCACGGTGGCTTTGCCTCATTCCCACTATTGGGATATATATGTGAATCAAACGTGGGAGCGTCAGTAAGCGCCACCTGTTGCCTTGGCGGCGAGTGTGAAACGCTCTTCTTGCCTGTTTGGTGACATGTCAAAAAGGCAGGAAGAGTGTTTCACACTCTTCCTGCACGCGGTGTTATTTTCTGTACACGATTATTTTTCTGTTCACGATGTTATTTCTCCGGCGTGTCAATATAAATGGACAACTAAGATGCGCATTTTTTCGGGGTCTGTGGTGAGCAAATAACACAAACTGAGTTCATGACTGCTTAGTAGAAATAGTGCTTTACGAGACGCACAAAATTTCTTTTATTCGTAAAATACGTGTACGATACATTGCACGGCCCAGGGCTAAAATAATGAGCAGTATACAGGTACAACAACTAGATGGTGCTTAGGCTCTGCTATCGACAGACGTAAAAAAAAAAGACTGCAAGTGAGTCATTTGGAAAGAACGTTAAACTATTTCATTACATAAGCACGCGGTGAACATCAGTAATCACACAATTTTCATTCAGCCTTCAATGCTTGAACCCGTAAATGATGACAGTTCTTTGACTACGCATTAGAACGCTATGACCACTGGCACGGAAACTCGCGTGGATTCTGAAACGCATAGCATTATGTGATACTGCGCAAGTGTTTCATGCAGGCGTACCCAATAAAGTGAAGCTGTGCCGAGAACCCTGGCACAAATTTGGGTTTGTCTGAAACAAAATTCGCGTGTATCAACAAAACTGTCCCAGAAAACAGCGGCTGTATAGAGTACACTGGTGGTGCGATTTTGCTCATTTTGTATTACTTTTGATTTCAAGGCTGGTTTCGAGAATTCCCTCATTACACCTAAAACTCAATGAAAAGCGGGGCGCCACATATTGAGTATGTCGGATTGGTATTGTCGGGAGTCCGTTGAAAAAAGAAATGTTATTGATTAGGTCACTATATGATTCATTTGGAGATCTTGAATTAAGCTCCCCCCTGCGTCGACGCATCACTTTCAGAAATATTTCTAGGTGTCGAACGCGTCGCGCTTATAGACCTTCTCCGGAACGTCATCCAGAGCCGTATCTATGCAGGCCCCTTCTGTCAATTGTCCCGAAGTGGCATCTTTTCATGGAGTGTTAGGCATCCCGATAAACCACCATCTCCATAGGCCTTATTTATGACAGGACAATTTTGGCACCCCAATCTTGCAGAAGTTTCACATAAAGGCTCGTTGCAGTCCTTTCGCAAGCTTAGTTCGAACGCGTGCTACGTGTGAAGCTTGGACAGTAAATAAAAAAACGAGTTCTACGTGAAAACATGTGCATATTCGTTAGATGGTAGCATGCCACCGAGCGACTGTGCGTGCACAAGCGACTTTCACCTTCAACTAATCCTAACCATCCCTGCCGTGCTATGATGTACAGCCACTTTGCAATATAATCATTGGCATTTCTTTTCGGACATAATCTGTAGGTGGCCTGCATGAGAAGTGGGCCACTGGTAATTAAGAATTTGTGTAGTGTGAAGGTTACACATTGTACGCTAAACATGTTCAACTGGTCTATACTTCATGCTCTTAGAAACAGGCTTTGGTGGCGAGGGTACTACTGACGACGCTTAGTTTCAGTGGTTTCAAATCGGCAAACGCGAGAAATTCGCTCTGGATTTTTGAGCTTACCTGTAGACAGCTAGTATTTCATTGGGTTCTTTGACATCATCTCTCAATAGGTCGGTGAAGCTGTATTCTTGAACCTTTATTATATACCTATATCGCAAAACATCTCAGTAGAACGACCAGATAAAAATTTTGATTAGGCTAAAAGCCGACAAGTATAAACCGAAAACTTTCAGTTTACCCCATAAAACTTTCGTTCACTCATTTATTGAGCACGAGATATACGTCTATCAAAGTTTCGCATTTCATCTCTGTGGAATTGTTTTTACAACTAGGTAATAACCAGAAGACTTCATGAACACTTGCGCATAGACTCCGATCTGCATGTACTTCGCTACCATGCATGTACGCAGCGCGATTGTGAATTGTGAAGTTCTGTAAGGCTGAATATCTACAAAGAGGCCACTGTTGGCTCTCACTGTGCACTAACTATAACCGTTTATGTGCTGAATCTGACGATTATAGATGCACTTGATGATTAGTTAAGTTTGCCTCACAAATATTGGTGACCTTCTCATCTCCCTGCTGCCAGTGAAAGAACGGCCAAACACGTACTACGAGTAAGTAGCTAAAGGCATTCTCCCAGTGGCGCCATCCCGTCTATTTCTGGGACTTTTCGCTGTGATTCACCGCACTCGTTTTTGCCGGGTGAGGGAAACATTTTGACCGTCGGCGAGCGCCTTCTGTTGCGAGTCTGCAATGTCGACCAGGCAGTGCGAAAAGTGCCAGTGGTTCGTTTTGAGCCCGAAGAACACGCCAGGCGGCGCCACAAGATGCGCACGTGGGCGTCACACCCGAAGACGGTGGCGCCACCGTTGAAGGCCAGAAAGACGTACGGGTTGATGGCGCTGTTCGATGCTGAGATGACGCCAAACACGGCAACTATGTGAGGTCCGAGCGAGACGTTCGGTGCGAAGGCGAGCAGCATTTCCTGCACCATGTAGGGAAGGTTCGTCACGAGAAACGCGACAAATATAATCGCTGCCATCTTGAAAGTTCGCAGTCGCGCTTTGGGCAGAGTGGTACCGGCACCCTCTACGCAACCAGTACACGACACAGCGGTGGCATCCCCTCGCTGCCCGTTAGAAGCGGTGCTGCTTATCTTCCACATTCTGAACAAGATGCAAGAGTACAGCGCCACTAGAACCACCAACGGTAATATGAACACCAGCGTGAAGATGAAAGCCATGTAGGCTTGACGTAGAACCACGGAGTCCTGGTATATGTAGAAGATAGAGGCACAGTAGCACTCGCTCCGTATCACAACTATCCGGAACATGAACGCGTTCGGAAGGGACGGAAGGAGAGACAGCAGCCAGCAGACTGTGACCAGCGATCGTGGTTTGGGAGCCGGCGCCAGCGGCTTGCAGATGGCGTAGTGGCGGTCCACCGCGATGCCGACCAGCATGTACGTAGATGAGACGAGTGCGAACGTCTGCAGCACCTTGAACAATCTGCAGGCCGCGTCTCCTGCGACCCAGACGCGGCCCAGGACCTCCCACACCAATTGAGAACTCATGGTGACCAGAGTGACGAGAAGGTCGGCGAGGGCAAGGTTCAGAAAGAGCATCTGCGCCTTGAACATTCTGTGCCGCCGCGATGTCAGCAGACGGTGACACACGATCGAATTGCCTATAAGCGACAGCACAAGCATGACACTGATAAGTGCAATGCGCAACGTCTTGGCGTAATGCGGGCCAAACAGATCTCCGGCTGTCACGGGTACATCTCCAGCTGTCACGGGTACATCTCCGGCTGTCACGGGTACTTCCCACGCCGTCTCGTTGTCGGGTGGTGTGTCGAGTACGGACGACATTGTGGTGCGATCAGCACAGTTGTTCGGCATAGAATTCGGTCTCGCCCCATGCCCACCGAGACGGGCCACAATAATGGCGATGAGGTGCGCTGATGAAGAACACCCGTTGAACACACTAGAGACTTTAAGGCTCCACTGGTGCCTTCAGTTACTTGCCCCGTGGCTTTGTTGAAGTGCTGTCATCAAATGGGACCCCACGCTGTATAGTCGCTACCTGCATCTCTTCCGCGAATTCGATGAAAACCAGACTCCGCCGCTTCATACGATGAACAGACGAAGTCGTCTTTGGTATACCCGCACTTCTACTAGTGGTCGGTTTCAGAACTTCATACATGTACCTGCAATAAGAGGAAAGAAAGCAAATTAGCACTAGTGAATATAAAGTCTTAAGGAAACTAGTACCATTGTGAACAAACAACATTACAATGCTTAATAGGAAATATTTATTGAATTACTTAATTGGTTCATTTACAGTGTAGCATAAAATATAGCATAAGTGTAACGACAAGGCCCATATCTTCGTTATGAAAAGAACAATTCCTCTATTTTTTAGCGATTAGGCTACGTCAGTACTTATGGTATACTGATACGGTCACTTTCTCTGGTGTTCATGTTCTATTTTTTGTTTGTTGATTTGTACGGTTCTATGCCTATATATGTGAAAATGTTATTGCCGAATAATTATCTGCAAAGGCGAACTTCAGGCCATCGTGATCGTAGACTCTTTATTAGCGAATACAAGCGCACAACGATACGGAACACATGCAAACGGAAACCATCGTGAACACGGGCTCTTATAGCACGGATTCTCAGCAACTCGCTTTCGTAAATGCAATATATATATATATATATATATATATATATATATATATATATATATATATATATATATATATATTCATCTCAGTTAGCCCTAAATGTTTACATAAAAGAAGGTATTGTAAATACGCCTCCACCGCCATACTAATCTCAAAGCAAAACACGGCACAGTTAGCAATGGAATGTAGGCAGAGTGATATAGGGGTGACGGTGGTTCGAGGCATTAGAGAGTTTTAGCAAGCTACGGAAACACGTTACGAAAAGGCGACAACACGGAACAGCCTGACGAGTGCACATGCGCAACTATTGTACGCTGTTGTGGATCCAACCGCTGGGTCGTATCCCACCGCTGCCACTAGTTGTGGTGGATCCCGGTGCTGAGTCGTATCCCACCGCTGCCACCAGTTGCGGCTCTCGGCGCTGTTCACCAGTAGTCGCTCTGAATCCCAGCGCTGATCACCTGTTGTGGCGGATCGGGGACTACCCGGTCTCTTGTGGTAGCGTGGTGTAGCTTCGGGTTGAGGAAACGAGTGCTTACAAGATGGGGATACGAAAAACAAACAGGTTTATGGCACTATTTACAATTATTTACAGCATAGAGGTAGGGAGTTCACAAACCACGAGCGTGGTGGTTGAACCGTTACATGGTTCAGAGTGACGTCCAGCACTCTGCGGCCTCGTTATAAGCCCTGTCGGGCTCCTCCTTCTTGAGTGGAACACCAATCAGACACACACACAACAGGCGAGGGGTACGAGCATGCACGGCCCACGTGAACATCCAATATTGAGTCGTGATCACTGCACTGCAAGGTGGCGCCAGAGGGGGTCTTCCTCGTCGTGTGTGTGCCGCTGGTCGAGGGGTCCCAAGCTCCTGACAGCATACATCAAACGGTCCACCGATCTGTCCGCTCAATTAGCAGGCCAATTCGTGGCGGTGGCCGCGGTTTCTTCCAAGGAAGTTGCTGTCTTTGTTGTCCTCTCTGGAACGGCTTACGGCGTCGTGGTGACACGACGTGTGATCCTCCGGCTAGCAGGGACAATACCTGGCGGGCATAGGCAGCCGGCCAGTCGGCTACTTGTTTGAGGATTAAAAGAGCGCCGCTCCCCCGTCAGCTCTGGACGCTGGTTCCGAGAGAACTGGGGTTCCCGGCGTGCGAGCGCTGCCCGGCTACGCTTCTCAGCGACAGCATGGCGCCTACTGACGACGGTCATAACAACGCGCATACGGAAATAAACCGTGTCGTTTTTCCGTAACCTGTTTCCGTATAGCTTGCTTAAACTCTCTATTAACTTTGCGCTTCCGGAGCAGCGCTGACGCGGCCACACGTGGTATAAGTGCAATTGGGCGCTCTTCGTGAACACCTCGCAATGACCAACAAACTGTTATTGTCGGACACGGGCGCACTTGTTATGCGCTTTCTTTGTACGCATCGTCCATAATTCCATTTGTGTCGAGTAAAAACCACGTGGCGCCCCTGCAAAGAAACGGGATTTTCGCAGCTGAACGCGTGATTGACGCTTTAGAAAGCAGCAGCAGGATAATATAATAGAACCGCTTCAATCGCGACTGGGTTTTCATTTAGCACGTTTGCTGGTGGCTCTTTGTTCTGTACGTGCGCGCGTGATACAGCAGGTGCCGCTCCCGACAGGCGTGAAACGCACCTATAACGCAGGCACACGCAGAAAGAATACACTGCATTCCTCCACAAAGCGCCGGTGGGCTGCGTTAGAAGCTATTCAAGGGGCAAGGTTCTGCCTCAGGTTTGCCGATTATAGATAGGCCCACCCCAATAAAACGCAATGACATAGCGCTCGAGTCTCTGTTTTCAAATACTAAGTTGACATCGCTTAATATGAAGACTGATCCAGGCACGCGCGTACTATTGCCAGGGTAGCATCACTTCTTTTTGAAACCAACATCAAAATGGTGCTGTAAGTGAATTAAGAACGACGGAGAGTTCTTTTCTTCGAATACTCTATATTTCTATTCTTGTTGCTCAAGCGAGTGAGAAACTGCAACGGGAAGAAATTAGGACAATCTTTCATTCCTGTGCCGAGGACTTGGAAGTTACAGCATTGCAGACGTTTCATAGTTTTTTTTTTAGCCATCTCAGAGAAGAATAGGATCTTTAAATTTTCTTTCCACGGCAAAGTCTTACTTACTTTGGTATTGCAATGTAGTAACAGTAAATGAGCTAGCCAGCTCAGAATTTTAACGTCTCCTGGATAGGACCAGAGCGGAAAGTTTAAGTGGTTTAACCACGTGAGATTTCCACTCCACAGAAACAGTGGCTTGCCTCGGATTGATCGTCTCGCTTTAAAGACACTTACAACACGCCAGGCCTGCGCGGTAGGCGCGGCACAGTCACGGCGAAAGCTGGAAGAGCGGCCTTTCATAGCCTTTTCGAAACACTCATTGGGTAACTACTGCAAGCAGACTTGCTTGGTACCCACTAGGGCATTAATAATAAACTTTTGGGTAGTGGGCCGGCATTCGCTATGCCATTTTTTCGTCATTCTTCTGAGAAGCGTGGTATCCACTTAACACTTGCAAGGAATATTGTGTCAATTGTCCATGCAGTGGCTGACGACGATGAGGAAATATGACTGTAGTGGGCATGCGTCACAGTTAATAGGGAAACAAAAACAAGATTTTGTAATGGGTTAAGCATTGGACGGCCCGCTGGTTATGCTAATAGCATTGTGCGACGACTCGTTGTTCTTTCGCTGTTCTAAAACACTTTATAAGTCGTATTAACGCGATTGCTTTCCCGACATCAAGCCTGCCTAAATCAAGTTTGGCAACAAATCACAAACACCGGTGTATAAGCTCAGTTAAATAAAGAAAAAAAATGGTGTAGCTCAGTGAGAGAATACTGGACTCGCACCCAGCGGACCCAGATTTGAGCCCCACTATGCCATTGGTACTAGGTCATGCCGGCCTAAGGCAAGGTTTTTTTTTTCTAATTTCGCGCGATGTGGTTACGACACCAGCTGCGATAGCGGCGGCGGTGCTGGCGGCGGACAACATGCAACTGCGCGTGACCCGAAAAGTGACCTCATAACCGTTTTCGCTGTAATAAAGTCGTTCGGTGTGACGGCCGGGAAAGCGTAAAACGTGTTTTTTACCTCGACGCTGTATGTACCAGCAGATCTGACACTGTAATGAATAACCGTTATTATGGTGATGTAATGACAAACATCCCAAAAAGGAACTGAATGTTCTAGCTCTAAAGAAAAGAGAAAACCTCAGGGAAAAGAAACGAGACATTGGGGAAGAGCAATTCTAAAAAAATAAATAAGAAACCCAGGACATATGCAGTAATGATGTGCGGAATACACCTAGAAAGAAACAACAAATTTAGCACTAAAGCTTTATGCAAGGAAAGTAAGCGTGCGAGGTCACCGAGTGGTGGTCTAAATGCATAGACACTGTGTTATGTTTTCCTCGGGCACCACGAGCAAATTTACTGAAAGACTCATGCTTGCATGAATACATAAATCAGCACTTGAGAGCAGTAATCTGAGTATTCGCAATATTTTGCCCAGCACGTTTCAGTCATTTACACATGCACTGATGCTATAGACTCCGGCTTATGGTTTGTGTGCCGGGTGCTAGGTTGCGTGCTCAAACGTTGAACGATAAGTATGTAAAAGTACAAGGACATAGGCAGGTACCAGCAAATTCTCTGGCGCTACGCAATTACGCTTACGATTTCATTTCATCTGCATATCAATCAATTTACTTCTAGCTGTGGATTTCGCGGCTCATAAAGAATTGTAACTCAGGCCCTCATTACCTCAATCTCAACAAAACAACGGAACATGGCAAACCATGACAGTATAGGACAGAAGATAAAACAGAATATTCAAGAACAGGTGGAACAGAAAACGACAGAATAAAGCAGAACACAACAGAACGAGCAGAAGAGGGCAGGGACAGCAAGAACAAGAACGAAGAATCAGCTGCCATACCATGAATTTGTCAATTATTGAAACCTTATTTTCTGGTAATATTACCGCCAGATAATCAAAGATCCACCAGAGTGCGAAAGCGCCATCATTAAAAAAATTGGCCCCGTATCTGCATGTAATCTGCAAGTGTCGTCGAAAGACGATAGTCTTGCGTGTGGAGAGAGTGAACAAAACATTTATTTGATGTTCTGCGCAAGAAAATCGGTGAATGGTATTGTGGAGGCGCTGCGTTAGAGTGCCTCGAGCGTGCAGCGGAGGAAAACGAGCGCATCAAGTCACGTCACACGTGAGACATGAGCGCCATCTGGCAGTTTATTTTAGAAAACAAAGCACGTGGCCGTGCGCGCCCGTCTCAGAGGTGATAAGGTGCAGAACGCAAGGCGATGGGTAGGTGCCACCACCATCTCGTCTTAGCAAAGCGTTGGAAACGCTCCCCGTTCCGTGCAAGCGTTGCATGGTAAGCGCAGCGTGATAAGCGCTACGGTCCTTAAAATTGCTTAAGTATGCATTTTCCAGTAAGAGATGCAT